TACACTCTGGGGGGCACATAATTCAGTCCTTAGCAACTGGTGTATTAGTAGTCATTAGGTTAATTTCTGTTGCTACTTTCTGTTCAGCTCTTTGTTACTTCTGATCACAAAGCTAGTTTAGCATCTTGGGCTCTCCTTTGTTTTTTAGAGACAGGGTCTTGCTTTGTTGTTACCCAGGCTGGAGCGAGTGCAGCGGCACAGTTAGAGCTCACTGCAACCTCAAACTCCTGTCCTCAAGTGAACCTCCTGCCTTGGTCCCTCAAAGTGTTAGGATTTCGGATGTGAACCACTGAGCCTGGCTTAGTTTAGTCTTTTCAAGGTTTGTCCGAGTTGTAGCATGTGTCAGAACTGTCTTCCTTTTTATGGCTGAATGATATTCTTTGTGTACCACTTTTTGTTTGTCCATTCATCCATTTGCCAGGTGACTCTCAGTGTGTGGACAAGATCAAGAAACAATGGCTTAACTTCCCAGGCTGGGTACTATCATCCCTTTTTATATACCAGGAAGCTGCAGCCCAGAGAAGTTAAATAATTTCCCCGAGATCACACAGCAGCTGAGTGCCCATGTGGGGATTTTCCACCTGGCTGGGCCTAGCTCCCAAGCCTGTGACCTCCAGTTGGGATGGGAGTTCGACATTCTGCCCTTGTCTCCTGCCAGCCTCTGGCTCTATATCCTGGTTGGGTTTGGAAGTCCTCCATGAGGCCACAGCTACATGGTCCTCTGAGCAGCAAGGGCTGGTTACAAAATGGGGATTTTATTCTTCAGCTTTTCAATTTTTTGTAGAGATAGGGTCTCACTATGGTGCCCAGTTGAAACCAAGACTGTTTTAAAACAGACTGGAGGAAGAAACACCGTTTCCATCCCCTTCCTTTAACACTGACCCCTTGCTAGAAACATTGGCTCTTTCAAGAGAAATTTCCTACAGACTTGGCTGCCTTTCTGACGGCCAGGTCTGTTTCAAAACAGTCTTGGTGTCAACTGGACAACATAGCGAGACCCTATCTCTATAAAAAATTGAAAAGCTTGCCAGGTGTGATGCTGCCATTTATAGTCCCAGTTACTTGGGAGGCTGAGGCAGGAGCATTGCTTGAGCCCAGGAGTCCAAGGCTGCAATGAATTATGATGATGTCACTGCACTCTAGCTCAAGTGACTGAGTAAGATCGTGTCTCTAAGGGAATAAAAAGTTAAAAAATAAAACTAAAGGTGGCGCCTGTGGCTCAGTGAGTAGGGTGCCGGCCCCATACACTGAGGGTGGCAGATTCAAACTCAGCCCTGGCCAAACTGCAACAACAAAAAAGTAGCCAGGCGTTGTGGCAGGCTCCTGTAGTCCCAGCTACTTGGGAGGATGAGGCAAGAGAATCACCTAAGTCCAAGAATTTGAGGTTGCTGTGAGCTGTGACACCACAGCACTCTACCAAGGGTGACAAAGTGAGACTCTGTCTCTATAAATAAGTAAAATAAAATAAAATAATAATAATAATATATATATTTTTGCAGTTTTTGGCCAGGGCTGGGTTTGAATCCTCCACCTTTGCCATGTGGGGCCAGCACGCTACTCCTTTGAGCCACAGGTGCCACCCCAAAATAAAATAAAATTAAATAAGTTTTTATTAGAAACATTTTAATAGAGAATAAGTAAATCTCTCCTTGGCCTTCAAAGCACAGGGTTTTTGTCCACTTAAGAATGCACTTGGACTTTATACAATAAAAAATTCTCTTTAAACATTGGAATAAAAAAGGCTGTCTGGCCACTGTGTGCCTCCCTTTATATGATGTTCTGGAAACGGCAAAGCTATAGGGATGGAGAGCAGAGTGATGGTTGCCTGGCTGGGACCAGGCAAAGGTGTTGGGCACACAGGAGCAGGAGGAAATTTGGGGGATGATGGATTGTTATTTGTCTTGACTGTGGTGGTCACACAATTCTATTCATTTGTCAAAACTCATAAAACTATAGTCAGAAAAGAGAAATTTTACTATATGTAAATTAAAACATAAATTTAAAAAATTGCTTTCATTGTTATCTTAAAATGCTCTACTAGAGGTTTATGAAGAAAGGAATTAAGCCACAAGGAGTTAAGGGGGAAGTTCTTGGGTCTTCAGGGTGGTGGGAACTCTGTTTCTTGGGTGTGTGCCCGTCGGCCCTGTCTCCGGGCCTCCCTGGCCTCCCTGCCAGCATTCAGTGGTGGCAATGTGACTGAGGGACAAGGGAGGACTTGTGGAGTCCAGAAATAAATAAATAATTGCCTGTCCCAGGTCGCCATGGCAGCCGTGACATCACCCTTGGACCCCATGTGGCTGGCACTCTTGGTGGCCTGTGGGGTGTATTATAGGGGCAGGGGAAGGGAGGCCAGCTGCCCCTGCCTGCTGACCGGTGGAGGAGGAGAAAGCCTCAGGTGGAGATTTGGTTTCCCACATCAGAGAAAGATGCTATTTGGTCTCTTCATAGGTGGCCACTGGCCCCTGAGCCTGGGTGGTGGGAATGTAAATTTTCACAGCCCCCTAGGGTGTTTCTGAGTAGAGTCCATCAAAATTGACATTGTGTGCTCATGTGTCAGTGTCCTAAGGCTGCAGTCACAGGTGACCATGCACCTGGTGGCTTAAAACAACAAACATTTATCCTTCACAGTTCTGTAGGGCAGAAGTCTAAAATCAAGGTGTGGGCAGAGCTCTGAGGGTGGGAGAATGTCTTCTGTGCCTCTCTCCTGAACTCTAGTGGCTGTCAGCCATTCTGGTGCCCTGGGCTTGTAGGTGCCTCACTCGTGTCTTTGCCGCATTATCACATGGCCATCTCTTCCTCTGTATTTCTGTCCTCCCATGACATTTTCCTGTCTCTGTATCGGGGACCCAGTCACATTGGATGAGAGGTCCATCCTACCCTGGTGTGGCCTCATCTGAGTTAATTACATCTACAACAGTCCTGTTAAGGTTACACTTTGAGGAACCAGTAGTTAGGACTTCAATATGTGGATTGTGGGAGGACACAGCTCAACCTGTAACATTATTTTGTTGTTGTTACTTATTATTGAATAAGCTAGTCTTGCCCAGTGATAACTCCCTGGGCTACCATGGGAAAGGCAGGCTGCTGGGCCATTCTGGGCTCTAGCAGGATCTTTGCTGGGGTCTCCATCTCCAGGAATGGGTCCTCTGTTTTCTTTGTGACCATAACCCTGGTTTTTTATCAGCCCCTGCTTGAGTGCCTGACCATGGGAAGTAGGGCACTGGCTTGGCTTGGAAGCCTGGCTGTGGGAAGTCTTAGTTTTCTTATCTGTCTAATGGGCTTACATGACCCTTGGCTGGAAGTCACTTAACCACAGAATCACATGACTGTGTAGTAATAGCTGGATATAGGCAGAGAGCAGTCATTACACCAGTTGAGTGGGGGGATGTGCCTTGGACCCCTGGGCTCACCTAGGTGCCAAGGGGGTCATCATAGGAAAAGCAGACACCAGCAGTCCCAGGGAAAGTCACAGTGTCAGTGTGGGTAGAACCCTCCTCCTCCCAGTCCCGTATCCTGCCCTTCACACGCCAGTATGTGTGAAACTGGCACATACAAGGTGCACCATAAATGCTCCAGAGCTGTCCTATCACAGAGCCAGCTCATGAAAGGAGCTCAGGGAATGCCCCAGAGACTGAGTATGGCTCCAGCACACAAAAGTGTTCCATATATGCTCCATGAACTGTACTCAGCATGGAGCCAGCATACAGAAGGTGCTCAGTGAACCACATTGCATCAAGTCCATTGTTCTGAGCCATACACTCATTTCTTATTTTTGTGTGTGGGGGGGGTCTACAAAGTAATAATTGGGATCTTGGGGAGAAAATCTTTGGTGTGTGTTAGTTGTGTACAACTGCTTCTGATGGCTTGGGCTTGCCAATACTAGGGAGAGCTGTCCACTCAACCAGTTCTGAGCCTGGGAACTGGTCCTGCTCACTGGCCTGAGAGCCAGTGTGTGTGGCTCCTACTTCCAGATCTGGATGCCTCTTCCCCACCCATCCAACCATTGCTTGTCTTCCCAGCCTGACTCACGTCCCTGTACACAGTCACGTCACGGCAGAGCCAGCATTTGAGTCAACCAGGGCTGGGTTGAGCCCCGTGCCACCTGGGGATCTGGTTTCCTGACCTCCCTGACACTGTAGCTTTTCCATCCATAACATGGGAAACAGCTCCACATGGTGCTCCAGTGAATATCAAACAAGGGATGACACTTTGAAGATTCTCCAAAGACACCAAAAACATCAGGAATGTTTATTTTTATGATAAAGTCACCTGGCAATTCCACACATGGATCTGAGCCGAAGCAAACATGTTCCCGGGCAGAGTTAATGGAACAGCCCATGCAGCAGTGTCCGCCTGCAGTAGGTTGGGGAACTCCATGTGCACATTCATCCAGGGGAATACTAAGTAGCTGTGAAGGCAGCCAATTGCTGTATCCAGCAACATGAGTGAATCTCACAAAAAAACAGGGTGAGCAAAACAAGCCAGTGTGCTGTGTGAGTTTGTTGAGAGCAAGTTCAAGGACAGGCAAAACTAAGGCCTGGTGACAATGCCAGAAGGTGTTTCCTCCAGGGAAAGGTACCCACCGGGGAGGGGCACTTTCTGGGGGCTGGAAATGAATTACGGCTCTTCCTGGATGGTGGTTATGTGTATTTGGATGTAAAAATTCATCGACTGTGTACCCTTGGAGAGCTACATTGGATGTAATTTATACTGTGAGGAAACACAAAATAGAAAACGAAGAGAATGCCACATCTTGACATTTAGAGAAGTTTTGAAACAAACACCACAGTGGGATTAGGCACAAAATATTGGATGATCCAGAAACATTTAATAATCAGAAAAAGAGAGAAAGAGAGAGGGCAGAAGAGGGGAGATGGGGCAGAGGAAGGGGGGGGGCTATTCTTTTCCTATTAGGAGGGGGAACGTGCTCAGGTCTCCTGGGAATTCCTGCTGGAGCTGCTTTCCAGCTGAGCTTCCTGGAATTCTGCTTCTCATTCCAGGTTCATGAACCACCGAGTTCCTGCCCACAAGAGGTACCAGCCAACAGAGTATGAACACGCGGCCAACTGTGCCACCCATGCTGTGAGTCTGCCCGTCGGGGGCTCAGGGCTGAGATGGAGGCACTTCCAGTTGGGAGAAGGGAAGGCAGCTTCTTCACCTGTAGAGAAATTCAGTCTGTCCCCAGTGGCCTGTTCCTCAGGTCTTCTGTGGCCCTTAGAAGAGTGAGTAGGATCTTGAGGGAAGGCCATTGGGTAAACTGGACTGCGGTGCTGAGCATGCTTCAAGAAGCTTCCACAGTTCCTTAGTACCTAGTGCAGCATCCGGTCACTCTAGTAAGCTCCCAGCCATGTCTGAGCCTGTCTGTCTGCCCACCTCTTGCATCCATGCTCTTGCACTTGGACCACTGTTTCCTAACTAGAAGGGACAATTCCATGCCTTTTCACATGCTGTTCCCTCTGCCTGGAATACTCACTGTCTCCACCCCAGCCTTTCCTGTAGAAGCCTTTTCCTCATTCTTGGCCTTCCTGAAATGTACCCCCAAAGCCCTCTTATCTTCCCAGACACTAGGAGGCTCTGAGTGTTCCCTCTACCCCCCAGCCATGGCAGCCCCCACTGCCCTGTGTCATGCCAAGCTAGAGAGTACCAGTCCATTGCTTGTTCATTCAGCAAACAGCTCTGGATACCCTCAAGTCTCCAGACACTGCTCCAGACCTTGGTGATGCAGATGTGAGTTTAAACTGAATCTCTGGTGCTGGGTGTGGTGGCTCACACCTATAATCCCAACATGTTGGGAGGCTGAGGTAGGAGGATCACTCGAGGCCAGGAGTTCAAGACTAGCTTATACAACATAATGAGACCCTGTCTCTACAAAAAAATTTAAAAATTATCTGGGTGTGGAAGAGTGTGCCTGTGTCCTAGCTACTTGGGAGGCTAAGGTGGGAATAATGCTTGAGTCCGAGAATTTGAGGCCGTAGTGATCATACTGCTACACTCTAACCCGGGCAGCAGAGTGAGACCCTGTCTCAAACAAACAAAAAAAAAAAGGAAGGAAAAAAAGAGAAATTATTAAAAATCAGGATGAAACAATCAGGATCTACAGCATAATGAGAACTATGTCCTTAAATTATGAAGTAGCATGAGATTGCTACTGTTTATTTTTTAAGGTAATGTAAGATTCATGAAAGTAATTTTATTAAGTTTGTAATTCTATCCCCTTCATCAGGGATCCTATCTTGCCTGTTGCTGTTCAGCCTCCCATACACAAGTATATGTGTGGGTGGCTGATGGCCTTTTGTCACGCAATCAGTCCCTTCTGTGTGTGCACTGCTGAGGACCATTCCCCATCCATCCCAGTCCTGGTCCATGCAACAAGGTGGCGAGGCTGGCAGGGCACCTCCCTCCTTTTGGAATGTACTTGGGCTGATTTTATTGATAAATGTCTTTTCAGGGAATCCTGGAAGATGTACATGGTTAGGGCTGGACTCCTTGCGTGCCCATTTCTCTTCTCTGTAAGCTTCTAGAACATTTCTTTCCTCCCTCCCTCCCTTTTTTCCTTCCATACATATTCATTAAGTGCCTACCTGGACTGATAACCTGCATGGCTCATGTCATGTGGGGCAGACAAGGAGTGAGATAAGGGTTGTGGGGACTGCCATGGAGAGAAGGCACAGGGTGTCATGAGAGCAGATAACAGAAGGAGGGACCTAGCCAGACAGGGAGGACAGAGAAGGTGCTTCTGCCAGGAGTTTAAAAAAATTTTTTTTGAGTCAGTATCTCCTTCTGTCACCCTGGTAGAGTGCAATGGTATCATCATAGGTCACTGCAGCTTCAAGCTCCTTGACTCAAGTGATTCTGATCCTTCTGTTTTAGCCTCTTGCGTAGCTGGAACTACAAGTGCATGTCACCATGCCCGATAATTTTTCTATTTTTATTTTTTGAGACAGAGTCTCACTCTCTTGCCCTAGGCTAGAGTGTCATGGTGTCATCATAGCTCACAGCAACCTCAAACTTCTGGGCTCAAGTGATCCTCTGCCTCAGCCTCCTGAGTTGCTGAGACTATAGGCATGAGCCATGACACCCTGCTAGTTTTTTTTTTTTTTCTATTTTTAGTAGAGATGGGGTCTTACTCTTGGTCAGGCTGGTCTCAAACTCCTGATTTCAAGCAATCCACCTGCTTTGGCCTCCCAGAGTGCTAGGATTCCAGGTGTGAGCCACTGTGCCCAGCTAATTTTCTCTATTTTTTGTAGAGAGGGGGTCTCGCTCAGGCTGGTTTTGAAGTCCTGGCCTTAAGCAATCCCTCTGTCTTGGCCTCTGAGAGTGTTAGGTGTGAGCCGTCATGCCTGGCCCGAGTGATATTTTAACTGACTCCTGAAAGATGATGACCAGGATCTAGCCTCCTGACTACTGGAGGGAACAGCATGTCCAGTAAGAGGGAACAGCTGGTGCACAGGCCCTTAGACAGGAAAGAGGACAACTGGATGTGGGAACAACTGGATGAAGGCCAGTAAGGTCGGAGCATGGTGACCGAGGCACAGAGCAGGAGGAGTGTGGGGAGGGGCAAAGTTGGAGGGGTGAGTGTGGCCAGATCGTGCATCTCTTAAGGCAGAGGATTTGGTGATTCCATTGCCTACAGTCTACCATGACAGATTGTGTGCTACTCAAGCCCGTTTATAAGGTGAACCTTGTGCTGTTCTGGGTCAGGCTGTGTATTTAGGGCACCCCTGTGTAGGAGAGCTTAGGGACATCAGTAAGGACAGTGAGCCACCACGTCAGACTCCTCTGTGTGGTGGCTCAGAATGGAGCCTGGGGGAACCAGCTACTCCCTGGGACGTGGTCCTTAACTGCTTGGTATGTGGGCCCCTTTCAGTATCTGGCCAAAGAGCTCAGCCTCAATTGTGCATGTCAGTAATCACTGGCCCCTTGTAGCTATTGGAATTTACACTTGAAACCATAAAAATGAAATAAAATAAAATAATTCCATCTTCAGTGGACTGGCTACATTTCAAGGGCCTAGTGGCTGCCTCGTTGGCCACCACAGTAGGCAGCTCAGGTGGAGGGCATGTCATGGGGGTGGTCAGAAATCTGAACCCCAGGCACTACAGCACCTGCCCTGCTCCCATCTGCAGTTCTGGATCATTCCCAGCATCCTTGGCAGCTCCAACCTCTACTTCCTGTCAGACGATGATTGGGAGACCATTTCTGCCTGGATCTACGGTCTTGGTCTCTGCAGCCTCTTCGTGGTGTCCACCGTGTTCCACACTATCTCCTGGAAGAAGAGCCACCTCAGGTGCCTCCCATGAAGCCCACAGGAGGGGGTGTGGTGGGTGGGGGGCCCATGGGTCAAGCTAAGGACGAGGACTGAGCTGTGATGGGGCTGAGGGTGGGGTGACCCCTGGGCCATTGGGCAGAATGGGGCTGAGCCCCCACTGGGCAGACAACTGGGCGTTCATTGCTCCGCTTGGAGAGGACTGTGAGAGCGAGGCCTCACCAGCCACAGGGCACAGTGATCCCTCCCTCTCTGGGCACCTCCTGGGTTCCAGGGACCCTGCAGGTGCCATTTCCTAGTCTTTTGGATAATTCTGCAACGTAGGCATTAGGATCCCCAATTTTTAAAATTCTTATTTTATTTTACTTTTTCAATTGTGGTAAAATAAACACAATAGCAACATTCAATTTACCATCAGCCTTTTTACGTTGTGCAGTGTAATGCACAATGACATGTTGTGTGGCCATTGCCTCCACCCACCTCCAGGATTTTCCACCTTCCCAAACTCAAACTCTGTCCCCATTAGACAACAGCTCCCCGTCCCCTCCCCTGGCCCCAGCACCTCCATTCTACTTTCAGTCTCGATGGATCTGACAACTCCGGGGACCTCTCCTTTTGTGTCTGGCTTATGTCACTTCACAATGCTCTACAGGCTCACCCCCCTTGCAGTGTGTCACATCTCTGTCTCATGGATGGCAATACCGAAGCTCAGAAGCCTTGCTCAGGTTGCACAGCCTGTTGTGTCCAAACCAGAGCTGGTTATAGGATTGTAGCCCCCCATAAAGCTGTGTGCCACCCTCTTCTGTCCACTTTTGTTCCCTGTCTCAGGTCTTTCTTGAGCCCCACAGTCTGAATGTCCTGAGGCTGCCGTAACAAATGACCACAACCTGGATGGCTTAAACAGCAGAAATGTATGCTCTCATGATTTTAGAGGTCGGAAGTCTGAGTCCAGGTGTCTGCACGGCCACGCTCCCTCCAAGGCTCTAGGGGAGGCGCCTTCTTCCTCTTCCAGCTTCTGGAGGTTCCAGTGTTCCTTGGCTTGTGTCCATATCACTTCAATCACTGCCTCTGTCCTCCTACGGCCTTCCTCCCTATGTGTCTCTGTATCCAAAGCTCCTCTCTTTTCTTTTATAAAGACACCAGTCATTGTTTTAGGCTAGCCAGTGCTGTGACATGCCGAGGCTTTGTGTCCTTATCTGTGAGATGGTGGATGAAAATAATGGTGCCTACCTTGTAGGCAGGATCAAAGAGTTAATGCTCATAAAGAGCTTTGAAGGTGCTGTTAGCATGTGCCCTATATGTGTGAGCTGTTGTTATTGTCTTAATTCTAGGAAGAAACGCTAAACTCCCCCACTCATACAACCACAATCAAATTTGTTCATGGCTGCAGTTCGTTAGCAGAATCATAATTTATAGTAGTTACCTATTGCCATGTAATACTCCAAAGCATAGTGGCTTCAAATAAAAAGAAGCATTTATTAGCTCTCAAAGCCTCAGAGGATCAGGATTTCAGGAGCTTACCTATGTGGTTGTGGTTCAGGGTTTCTCCTGCTGTCAGATGTGTGCTAGGGTAGTTGTCATCTGCAGGCTTGACTGGGGCTGGAGTGTCCACTTCCAAGGTGGCTCCCTTACATGGCTGGCAAGCTGGGTGTTTGAGGATATTCAATTCTTCCCCACAGAGACTTCTCCACAGACACATGGGGATTTGTTTCACTCAGAGTTTGTGATCCAAGAGAACAAGCTAGAAGCTATAACATCTTTTTTTTTGAGACAGTCTCACTTTGTTGCCCTTGGTAGAGTGCTTTGGCATCATAGCTCACAGCAACCTCAAACTCTTGGGCTCAAGTGATTCTCTTGTCTCAGCCTCCTGAGTAGCTGAGACTACAGGTGCCCACCAAGACACCTCGCTAGTTTTAGAGACAAGGGGTCTTGCTCTTGCTCAAGCTGGTCTCAAACTTCTGACCTCAAGCAATCCACTCACCTCAGCCTCCCAGAGTGCTAGGGTTACAGGGGCAAGCCACCTCGTCTGGCCTCGAAGCTGTAGTATCTTTTATGATCTAGCACAGGACCCACTCCCTGTTATTTCGGCAGTATCCTCTTGGTTCCCTGAACTTGTCCCATTTTTCGTGGGTGGGGACTGAGCAAGGATGTGAATGCCAGGGGGCAGTGCACCACTCTGGAGGCTGGACACCTCCCCGGTCATATGAATTGAGGTCTACCATCTGCTATTCAAAGTGAGGTCATAATAAAAACAGCTCACATTTATTACGTGCTTCTCATTATGTGCTGTGCTGAGTATTAACTCATTGAATCCTCACGCAGCCTGTAATCAGGTTGCTTTGTTCCTTCCATTTCGCAGGGGAGGAAGCTGAGATCTAGAGAGGCCAAGTTGCTCATGTGAGGTTATGTAGTCCCAAAGTATAGAGCTGGGAGTTGAAACCTTGCTGCTGGATCCAGGGCCTAGCTCTGAACAACTAAGCTCTTCTAACATAGGATGTCGGAACCCGCAGAGTCGTCGGAGGGGCACACTGTTTAGTAGTTTTTGCCATTTTTTAAGCCACAGAATTCTTTCTTTGAAACTTGTGGGAAAAGCCCAGTACATAAAATAGAAATGCAGTGTTGCTCTGGTTAAAGGAGGAGAAGGGACATCAGATCCTTAGTCTCTGGGGCTGCAAGTCCCACAGTGGGACCCATGAAGTGTCGTCTCCATACAACTCCTTGGCTGATGAGGAGCCAGGTTTGAAAGCCACTGCTCTGATCATTCACACGCAGGCAGACTGGCTGCAAGGGGTCCTGGCTGCATAGAGGCAAATCAGTTTGCTCTCAAACCGGGGGACGGCTTTGGGGGACGGCTTTGGGGGGTGCTGGCCCTTCCCTGTGGCCCAGGGGCAGTGACCACCCCCCTCTCTGGCTGCCCTAGGATGGTGGAGCACTGTCTGCACATGTTCGACCGGATGGTCATCTACTTCTTCATAGCGGCCTCCTACGCACCCTGGTGAGTACTTCCTGCTGCCAGGCACAGGCGTGGCTTGCTTTCTCTTCTCTGTTGAATGTATCTTTACATTTGGCTCAGTGATATGTTGTCTCGGCACATAAGATTATCTGCAAAATGCTCCCTCCTCCCCATTCTCCTTCCTGGAAGCAACAACTTACTAGCAGTTTCTTGTGTATCCTTCTAGAGTTATCTTATGCATAAAAGAAAAATTATGTATATATGCACATGTAGACGTATACATATATAAATATGTATTATGAACGTAAGTATACGTACATATATACTTACCTTGTATATTTACAAGTATATATTTATACTTCTTCCTTCCCACTTCTAATATAAAAGGAAGGCTACTATACAAACTATCAGTTTGCTTTTGTTCTCTTACTGCTGTCACTGGGACATTTTTCTATATTAGCATGTTGATGATTTCCCTGTTTTTTTATAACCACATAATATTCTTCATTTATGTGTATCTATGACACTGAGATATTCCATTCCTTGGCTACAACAAACGATGCTGCAGTGAATCTCTTTACACATCCTTCATTTTGCAGTGGAGCGTATGTGTGTTGGCTAGAACCATGTGAACTTGCCGACAGCCAGCCTGTTTTGGTCTGTAGAAATAGCCACCGCACATGGGTGAGCTGGTCTTTGTGGAATAAATTCCTAGAAGTGGATTTTCTGGTTCTCAGCGGGTGGGTGCTACCAATCTGCCTAAGCATTGCCAAATCACCCTCCACAGACATTTGTTCCAGTTTAAACGCCGGCCAGTGACAGGTCGTTGATGGCACAAGGAGACAGACCTGTGCGCATGTGGCTGTGAAACCTCCAAGGAGACATTGAGTTGCAGGGGAGTTGCAGGGGAGCTGCAGAGGGCTGCCTGGAGGAGGTGCGCCATTCCCAGCATCTGCATGTTGGCCTCTGAGGAGTGGGAGGCACAAAGAGATTTGTTCTTACGTTTCTGCCAGGGTGATTTCTGTCTTTGGCTGTCATAAATGGAGTATGCTCATTATATCCCCTAATAAGTGGGTTTTGTTTGCATATATGAAGGCATTTTAAAAACATTATTGATGTGTAATGTACAAGGAGAAAGTGCACAGTCATACGTATATATCATGATGAATTTCCAAACCGTAGTCAGCCCCCAGGGGAGGAAACAGAGCAGGACCAGCCCCCAGAAGCCTTGGCTCCTCTCTCTGGCCACTCCCCCTGCAAGGGTGTCCACAGTTCTGACTTCCGTCACCATATACTAGTTTTGCCTGATGCTGCACTTTATGTTAATGGGCTCAACACTTGTTGGTGTCTTGCTTCTTTCCCACAGCCTTACATCTGGCAACTCAGCGGTACTGTGTGCAGGAGTTGTCTGTTCACCCTCCTTGCTGTACATGCCATTCTCCTGTCATTAGATGTTTGCAGAGCTTCCAGGGCTAGGGTGGCTGTGGGTAACGGCCCTCTGTACATTTCTGTACCTGTGTATAGGTACAGAACTATGCATTTCTGTTGTATCTGTGCTTAGGAGTGGCTAGAAGGGGTTGAGGCAGGACATTGGTGTGTTTCAGCTTTTGGACCAATAAGTGGCTGATTTGGGAGCAGTGAGGCTGGCACAGATATCTAGGGATGGATAGTAGTGGCTTGGACTGTTGCAGCTGCTGAGGAGGGGTTGGATGGATTAGAAATATATTCAGCAGGAAGAGGGTGGCAGGGAAGAGAAGAGAAGGAAAGCCAGAGTTTCTGGGATACCAGCAACTGTAGTGAGTGGGGAGCCCAACTGTGGTCTACTGGACAGATGACTGGGTCTGCTCTGGGCACAGCTAGGCTCAGAAATGGCTGGGACTAGCTGCTGCCCTGGACCCCGTGGCTGATGGGAGGCCACTGAGCATGCCAAGAGCCCAAGGCAAGAGAAGCCAGAGGCCAGGGAGGGACCTTAGTCAATGCAGTGGCTTCTTGTTGGCCCCATGATCTCTCTGGGTACCACCTGGTATCTTTTTTCTTTTTGGTTGTTGCCAAGAAGAGTCAAGCTAAGATTTGTGATTGGCTGTGGCAACTACTCTTGCCATAGACTGCTAGTGCAACCCTCTGAGTGTCCTCCCCTTGCTGATGTAACACCTGAGTGTCTGTTCTTTACACCTGGCTGTGATTCATTTCCCTCCTGTGGACTTTACGCTCTAATAGGGGATGAAGACACTAGTGGGCACAGTGCGGTACATGCTGTCAGTGCTGTGGGAGAGGACACGGGCACAGGTGGGAGAGGTGCCCTGGCTTGAGAGCTGCAGAGGGGGATGAATCTGAAGGACTCAGGGACAAGATGGATGTGCATGAGAAGGACAGAGGAGCTTGGATGGTGACAGGGTTTCTGGCTGAGTGTATGGTGAGAGGGGAACATGGGACCAGGTGGTGCAGAATTACTCGGTGGGTATTTTTCCCTGTATTGCCCTGGTTTTCAAGCCATCTTCTGAAGAGCCCTGGATGACCCCCAGAGGACCTCAGAGGGACTGGGGGTGTAAATGAGTATGGGCTTCCCCATCCCTACCTCAGTCAGAGAACCCCCATTTGTTTTTTTTTTTTAAATAGATTGGGCTTACATATACAATTCTTGCATAAAATCTTCATATAAGGAAAGAGTGTTATATGACTGACGGAAGATTGAAAGGGCTGGGTGTGGTGGTTCATGCCTGTAATCCTAGCTCTCTGGGGGGCCAAGGCAGGTAGATTGCTTGAGTTCAGGAGTTTGAGATCAGCCTGAGCAACAGGTGAACTACAAGTGCTTGCCACAACACCTGACTAGTTTTTCTATTTTCAACTGAACTAGTCAAGTGTTGTGGCAGGCAAATGTAGTCTTAGCTACTTGGGAGGCTGAGGCAAGAGGAGTTTGAGGTTGCTGCGAGCTATGATACCATAGCACTCTACCCTGTGCAACAGAGCAGAGCAAGACTCTGTTTCAAAACAAAAATTGAAAGTCTGGTGTGATAGAAAGGGAACAGATTGTAGAGTTAGCACTAAGTTCTGGTCCTAGATCAGCTTCTTCCTAGCCATGTGCCTTTGGGTGAATTACAGACTCCCTCAGAGCCTCAGTATTCTGGCCTGTAAAATGGAGACAGTGGTAGCAGCCCCTCTTCCTCCCAGCTGTAGTGAGGAGAAACAAAGTCACAGTGTGCTGTCCAACACCTTGGTCAATTAAGTTTGAGAACTCATCCTAGAAAAAGTGCTACACACCTCATTGCTGAATATCACTATGGTCACCTTCCAAGTACTCTTCCTTGGCCTCCTTAAGCTTTTCTGCATCTTGGGACAAACACACATGTAGAATTCCCAGACTCTTCTGCTGGTAACCTATGCCATCCTCCTGTGTCACTGAGGATGGTGGTAATGGCAGACAGAGGCAGGGCCAGCTTGTCCTCACTGTGCTCCCCTCTGTGCCTCAGCTTTTCTTCTCACTGCTGGCCCTGCTGCCTACAGTGATGTCAAGCCTCTTAGGAAGGAAGCAACTATAGGCTGGTGTGGTGGTTCACGCCTGTAAATCTGGCACTCTGGGGGCTGAGGTGGAAGGATCCCTTGAGCTCAGGCGCCTGAGCAGTAGTGAGACCCTGTCTTTACTAGAAGAAGAAAAGGTAGCCGGGTGTGTGGAGAACACCTGAGGTCCCAGCTACTTGAAAGGTAGAGGCAGGAGGACTGCTTGAGCCCAGGAATTTAAGGTTGCTGTGAGCTATGACACCACAGCACACTATTCAGGGCAACAGAGTGAGACTCTGAGGAAGGAAGAAAGGAAGGAAAGAAGGAAGGAAGGAAGGAAGTAATTAAACAAGAGCACAAAGACGAGATGAAAAAGCAACTGACAGAAATGAGAACAGTGACTACAAGCCTGAAGAACAAAACCGTAACTTGATGGAATGAATTAATAAATCCAACTTAACAAAGAACAGTAACAGAACTACCGAAAACCAAATACCAACATAGAGGAAGGGCTTGAGATAATTAGAGAGGATACACATATTCTTAAACAGCTGAAAAATTAAAGCAATCAGAGAGAAGCTAGTAGAAATGAAAGACAGAGACATATTCTTCAGGCATTGAGACTGAAAAGAACAAACAAATCACTAGCAAAGGGGAGAAACCAGGCTGGCCTCAGGATGTGGCCATGGCACCATTTAACAGTGATACACAGTGGAGACCCTTCTACACTTTTCCACAGGTGGACTTTGGCATAAACTGTGTAGTGTGGTTTTTGTGCAACCACAAGAACAATCGGCAACCATTCCCATACCGTGAAAGAAAGCAGAGAACACAGTAGCCATGATGAGCATCTGAAAAAAATAATTTAACTACAAAATCTAGACAGTTAAGAGATTCCCCCCAAAAAGAACTGAAGAATGTTAGTGAATACTGATTCCAATAAAAAAATGAACCAGCTGTGACTTGTAGGTGTAGAATATGAATATTATAAATCTTGGAAATGTGAAACAAATGATGTATCAGAAAAATCAAGTGTCAGTGGAAGAAAGGCAGCCGATTTGACAGTGGAGAGTGAACTAATAGCATTGACAGTGGCAACACATAAGTTTAAAAAATCTAAACTCTTTATGTTTTACACAATTTATCACCTTAACTTTAGAGTCAGAGGATGAATTTTATGGTGAAGGAATATTTGAAGATCAGCAGAAAAATTTGGGGGGTTCATTTTCTTCCATTAAAACCAAATTAAAATTAATGTCCTGCTTTTAATTGAAAATGACATGTATAGTTTTCTTTTCACCCTTTCTCTCTTCCCTTCATCCCATCCCATTCCAT